AAACGTCATGCACGCTTTCTGGAAGTAAAACCCCCTTTCCCACAAAAACCCCTTTACCCCTCTCTCCAACCCTTCGAGGAGACCCCTACCTCGCCTTCCTTCCCCTATAGATTTATATGCTTTCCATGTCATTTCTTTTACCCCTTTCTCTAAATGACCAAACCCCCTCAACAACCCCTTCTTCTGGCCCTGACAAAAGCTTTTTAAAATACCACCTTCTCTAATTTCCCCCTCCGAATTTTTTGCATAAATTTTTCCCACAATTTCCCTTAGACAGGCTCTCCACTGCTTCCAACCCTTCCTCGCGCTGCATTTACCCCCCAAGCTTCAATCCTATAAGAGTGTTGGTACTCTAACTTTCATACATTCCCCCCTTTGCTCCAAAGATAACTTTTTTTTACTCCACATATACCTCAAGCACCACCACTTTTTTCCCTCATCAATTCTTGATTAACCTATCCTTTATAAATCCATCCACCGAACTCAATCCAAGTATCTGAAAACATTCACTTCTTCCATACTCCTCCTCCCCAAATTTGATATCCCAATTTTTCTTTTCAAACATTTAAAACCCTCATCACCTTACTCTTTTCTTGTTCCCCTTTCAATTTCTACCTTTTCACACATTCTCAAAACTCATCCACTAACCTTTGCAATTTTTCTTTAGCTCTCCCCTAAGCCGTATCATCAGCAAAAAGTAACTGTGTCAGTTCCCATTTTGAAATTTTTTTTTTCCCCATAATTTTAATTTCCCCCCCTTCCTGAAAACCCTAGATTTACTTTTTTACAACCCATCTTAAAAATAAAAATCCCTATATTGCAACATCTCCCCATTGTCCTCTATCCACCTTCATTGTTTTCTAAACCTAAATGCAAAAAAAACTTTTCCCCCTTTATCAAATTGTTCACTTTTATGCTTCAAAGTAAACACTTGATTACACATCCCCCACCCCCTCTGAAGCCTCCCTGCTCATCCGCAAACCAATTTGTCTTACCTCAATTCTTTCAATTGAAATCTACCCTACACTTTTTCCCGGATATCGAAACTTATTCCCCTATAATTTTTCAATCTCTTTTTTCCCCTTTCCCTTTTTATAAAAGGGGTATAATGCCAACAAGACTAAAAACACACTTGACCCTTTTCTTACAAAAAATGAGGACCTGATAAGAGACATAAAAATATCAAAAAAAAACTAATTCCAATCACAATCTAAGAAGTCCAGACGTACAGCATGGGGGCCTGAAAGCAGAATGATGTACCCGGGGAAGGTTTTTTCACAAAATACAAATTTCAAAAACAAAAACACAATGGGCGGGGAAACCATGTCCAACGAAACATGTTGGGAAGATGTCTTAAATGACATGGACCCAAAAACCCGTGTTGAAAAGGGTCAACTTCCTGGAGCCGAAAATGTTCAGGCATATTCCCTAAAAAAGAAGAAGAGGGGTAAACTGGAGAAAAAAGACGCTCCCCACAGAAACGACGAAGATATGAGCTCCTCAGGAGTGCTAGAATATTGATACACGAAAAGGGGCCCTGACCAGGGGAAATGGAAACTATCGAAAATTTAAACTAAATGACCCTTAAGGAACCCGGGAGGCGGAGGGGCTTAAAGCTATTGTGAAATTGAAAAAAAATTCAAAAAAATTTTTTTCATTGCCAAAAACAAGGGAAAAACAAAATTTTAGTTCGGGGCCCTTCTCAGAAGATGGGACTTACACAACGACAACAAGGAAATGATGAAATATTTAAAACCCCTACGACTCCCGTTTTATGAACCACTAAAACGGTCTGAGGATCGACACCCAAAAGATTTCTTCTGAATGAGCCTCAAAACTCCATAAATGTTGCCAGATTTCCACTTACCCTAACTCCCCATAATTTCGAAAAAGCCATTTACAACATGCCCATGCACTCGCCCGGGGGCCCGACTCTGGAAATCTGTTTTCTTAAGAAATCAAAAAAAACCCCTCTCGGTGCCCAAGTACATATGGAGGAGGACTTGGAATGGGGAGATTCCCAGTCCTTAAACAACGGGTATACCCCCGCCCATAAAGGTGGCAGCAAAGCATTAGCTAAGAACTATAGCCCAAAAGCTCTGACGTCCCACATCATAAAAAAACTTTAAAAAGGGGCTAAGAAGCGGATTGCAAATCACCTGGGGTTCCCAAAAATCTGCACAATCCCGGGCAAATGGGTTCAGGGCAGGTCGCCCTGCCTTCAAAACTACTGGTCACTATGACATGGGCCTTTGGGTGCACTGGAAGAAAACAGAATGCAGATGTAATATACACAGACTTTTAAAAAGCATTTGACAAATGCATCATGGTGAATAGCCCATAAAAACGTGCTAAAGGAAAAAATGGGAAAGTGGGAGATGGACTTTAATTCCTAAAAATCGAAAAAACAAAAGTAGTGGTAACAAGTTAAATCGGAGGCTGCCATAGTGAAGATCTGTTCCACAAGGCACGTACTCGCCCCCATCTTATTCCTTATCCTCATACAGCATAAAACAGAGATATACACACGCACCGTATCATCCTTTGCGGAGATACTAGGGTTCATGAGGCTTTTATTGCTGAGGACGCGGTTTTTAAACCCCCAAGAAGATATAAACAAAGTTTTCCCGTGGGCGGGGGAAACAATATGATGTTCAATGGGACAAATTCAACTACCCTTAGGAAAACTGGAGGGAGATAATAATGAACAAGTATACTACTGACTCCGGCCATACAATAGAGCGGAAAAAATTGTAAGGGACCTGGGAGGAGTAAGTCGAGGATCCCCTTTCAAGGTCACAACAGTGCCACGTCCACGTGCAAGAAAATGATAGGTGGATAAGAAACTTTCAAAACGAGAGATGCCAAGCCCATGATGATCCTTTTCAAATCACTTGTTCTCTTAGGCTGGAATACTGCTGTAAATTAACATCCCATACAAAGCAGGTTAAATCGCAGTCTAGAGATGTACAGAGTCCTTTATGACGTTAAGTTCTGTCAAACACCTTAATACTGGGGAAAACCTTGAAAGCCCTTTATTGTATCTTGGAAAGAGGGGGGAGAGATATATCTAATTACACTTGGGAAAAACTTGGAAGGAATGGTCCCAAAACTGCACACAGAAATCACCCCAGAAAGTAAAAGATGGGCAGGCGATGCAAAAATGCCGCCAAAAAAAGTAGGGCGCCATTGGTACCTAAAGAAAAACCATAAGTGTCCCGGGGGGCCCCAAAAATGTTCAAAAAGCCCCCATCAACATTAGGGGAAATTTCAATAAACCCCCGGCTGCCCTTTAAGAGGGGAGCTGGACAGTACCCAAAGTCAGTGCCCGGGTCAGCCGGGTGTGGCTCGACGTCGGATGCGCGGGAGCAGTAACAGCCTAGTTGATCAGGCCCCGTCCACGGAGCCCCGGTCTGGCCGGGCCGCGGGGGGTTTTCCCCCGGGAAAAACCTCCAGGTAACCCCAGTAGCCCCCGCCCAAACCCCGGTACCTCCCTCTTTCATACATTTATTAAACAAAAGTACCAACCTGCTTTTAACATTTTTGTCATATCGCATTTTTTATTATTATTATGTAAAATAATTTGTAATTTTTATTCAACAAAAAAATAAGATTTACTGTGAGTTTTTTGTTTTCGCAAAAAAGCCCCCCAAATTGGGCCATTTCTCCCAGGTTTTAGCCCCATTTCAAGTACTTTTTTCATAAAGCAATCAAAATCAACTATTTTTTGTAATATAATTTCTTTTTATCAAAGAGACCAAAAAAACGAGAATACAACCATAAAAAACCCTTTGAAATTACCATAAGGGCTGCTAAATTTTGGGGAAAATGAACCCCTTATTTATGTTTGATTTCTTTCATTTTTGGTGTATGTTAAGAAGCATCTTTCCATCATACATTGCCCAAGTTTCAATAAGATAGTCCAACAAACAACTGAGATACAATTCCCGAGATCAAGAGCAAGAGCCCCTCACCAGTGTCAAGAAACCTGCTTTGAGGTCTGCTCGCTTGTGGAAATTTTGCTCGCGTATGGAAGCAAAAAATCGACCCATCTACTGCTCATATTTGGAAAAACTCGCACGTGGACACGCTCGCAAGTAGAGGTTCCACTGTATAAGTTAACAAATAACTACTGTCCTAGGTAGTAGGTTGATAAACAGCAACCGCCCAGGGAGGTACTACCATCCTACCAAATGAGTGTAAAACGAAAGCCTGTAAATGTTTTACATGATGGTAGGATTGCTGGTGTCTTTTGTCTGTTTCATAAACATGCAAGATTTCAGGTACATATTGCTACTTGTACTTACACTTAGGTCACACTACACATACATGTACAAGCATATATATACATACGCCTATGGGTTTTCTTCTATTTTCTTTCTAGTTCTTGTTCTTGTCTATTTCCTCTTATCTCCATGGGAAAGTGGGACAGAATTCTTCCTCCATAAGCCAAGCGTGTCGTAAGAGGCGACTAAAATGCCGGGAGCAAGGGGCCAGTAACCCCTTCTCCTGTATATATTACTAAATTTAAAAGGAGGAACTTTCATTTTTACTTTTGGGCCACCCTGCCTCGGTGGGATATGGCTGGTACATTGAAAGAAGAAGAAATAATTACTGTCACTGAATAAGTAAATGAACAAATAATTACTGTAACTAAATACCAGTACTGGAAAGTAAATAAATGAATACTACAAGTTACAAACTTGTTGCCTTCATGCTGGGTAATTATCTCAAGTTTCACCACCATAAGGTCAAAATATCCTAAGCTGAGGAGCACCAGTAGTGCATTAATACAATGTCAGTCTCCATAAAATTATATCTTTTACTTCTTTTTTTCAACAAACCAGCCGTTTCCCACCAAGGCAGTGTGGACCTAAAAAAAAAAAAGCTTCTCTTTTTAATTTTAGTAATGTATAAAGGAGAATGGGTTAATAAAATTATATAATATTGCAAATTATATAATCCTAGGTTACATTAATACAATGTACACCAGGAGACAATCATACCAAGGTTTGTGATAATTTTGAGGGAACATATTCTGGATCCCCTTGAGAGTCTGCACTTAGCAGCTGAGTGTCAACAATGAGGTCAGACTGATCAGGACAAGAAGTGGCTTTCTTGCTTCGAGTGGAATGTCTCCCAACCACAGGGCTCGGTGCTGTCCTACCTCGCTCCTCTACATCTTTCTCATGACAGGGTTCGGGTTGATGTGAAGGTATCGTCTCTTCATCATTATCCTCATTCAGTCTACCTAAAATTAAATAGTATGTATTATTTGCAAAACCATTTTCCAAACTTTCCATTTAATACAGTTGGGTCAATTTTCCCACTGCATGAGGCTAAAAATAAAAATTTAAAGTAATTCTGGTGTCACTGTATATTTGTCAGATTGTTTTCATACAATTAAGTAAAAAGATTCAAAGAAATGTGAATGATAACTTATAAAGTTTATTATTAATAGTCATATGGGGAACATCTTCTCTTAGATATATAAGAGACTGGACTATAATTTTTTTTTTTTTGTTTTAGGCCTAAATGTACAAGGGTTATGAAGATTCAGTTTCGAAAAATGAGATACAAATTCAAAGCTTTCACTCAGGACAGATCACACTTTTAACCCTTTCAGGGTCGAGACACCCTCTCCTAAACTTGTTCTCAGGGTTGAAAATTTTTCGGAAAAAAAATTATTTTTTCTTATGAAAAGATAAGAGAATCTTTTCCCGATCATAATGACACCAAAAGTATGAAATTTGATGGAAAACTTATGGAATTATGCTCTCGTGAAGTTAGCGGTCTCGACGATGTTTACACATTGGCGATTTCGCCCACTTTGAGCCCTATTTTTGGCCAATTCCAGTGTGCTAGTTGACAAAAATCATAACTACTTCGCTAGAACTCCATTTTTTCTATCGAATGAGTACAAGAAACCATCCATTTACTGATTTAAAGTATCCAATAAAGTGGTCAGAAATTAGCAATTTTGCCAATGTCACACAAATTTCAGAAGATGCCAATTTCCAAAAAGGGTCCAGAATAAACAAGACAGACATTCCTGGCACTAAAATAACATTTCCTCTGTTCATTAGTCATGCCCCCAGGCCACTCTTACATTTCTTTTGCTTTCCACTTTGAATTTTTATTCTCACAAAAAATAGAAGATTTATTGCTATGCAGACTACTGCATTAGTGTAGAAATGGTATAAATAATATCAGCGCACTTGTAAAAGAATATTAGACTCGCCAGTTGACGTGTATTGGATGCTTGGCATGATTTGTTAACTTTTGAACTTTGGCAAAACTCGAACATTTCTGCTACTTTGAGCTCAATTTCAAGGTACTGTACTTTTCATTGTGAAACCAATCAAAATCATCTCAATTTCTGTAATATGCCTTCCATTCTATAAAATGAAACCAGGAAAACTAGAACAGAACCATAAATACCATACGAAAATACAGTGCAAAGTCGGTTTTAAACCAAAAACACGGTCAAATTTTTTTTTCTCATTACGCACTGTGTGCTGCAGGATTTTTTTATACTGTGCACACTGACCACATCAACTCATTCTTTCATATGTAGGCCTACCAGCTTTCTCTCGCTAGATTTGAAGGTGCTAGAATTTAGGCATACTAGTACATCAATAACCCTGGTGCGTAAGCCGTACTAATACATCGGAAACACTGAAAGGGTTAAATTTTATATAAAACATCAGAGGATAAACTAGCATGAACCATACATACTGGCCTGTATATAAGATCAACACATCAATAGGGAAGCCAAAAGAGGCATATGACAAATATTCTGGTACTGACTTGGGAGACTGGAGAGATACACTGGAGACAGAGGTTCACAGTCAAGCAGCAGACTCTCACTCTCGTTGCTACATGGTGAACTTGGGCTACACTGGAACATATCCGGGCTAGGTTTTACCTGCTCACTTACTTGAGTGGGCTTCATACACTGTTCTTCTGTTAGACAGCTTAAATATTTCACTTCCTCCTTCTCTTGCACTGTCACCACATCACAAGTGCTTTCTCTCCTCTGATCAGCTGTGCATAAAATTTCATTCCTCTCTACTTTATCACTATTTCCTCTATCAGTTAACCTTTTACTATTGATCAAATTATTATTTTTCTTGGGTCTTGTACTAATTGTGTTCATGGGAACTATATTTTCATTTCCATCATTAGTACTCAATTTTAGTTCCTCACCACTTTCAGTAACTCCACTTTTAATATTATCACTTTCATCCAGAAGTATATCTTTCAAGGCAATGTTCTTACTAGTTAAATTACCAACTATTTGTTCATTAGCTTCTTTTACATTCTCGACTGTATCTGCTGCTTTTGAGTCTCTCTTCTTTCTTTGATCTGTTTGCCTTCTTTGAACATCAGCAATAAGTTGAGCAAAGTGATCTCTGTTTTCCTTTACTGAAAAAAAAATAATTACCTATATATACAGAAAATCTGCAACTGCAATGGATGCCTCCTAAAGGAAGCTTAATCAAGAAATTCAATGCAAGTGTAATGAATCTGTCTGCAGGTAAAGCAAGGGAATTTGATTTTTTTTTCTTCAGAATATACCATATTTCACAGCTTATAAGACTTGTTTTAGTTTCAATGGCTCGGCGTTGGATGTAAATGGGAGAGCTACAGTCCACCCCAAACTTATAGCTCCCATCACTGACCTTCAATTTATAGGACACAGGGTGGTTTTTTGAAGACATTTTATGGACAAAAAAATGTCTAATAAGCTGAGAAATACGATAACTTCCAACAGAACTTGTTTCTAATACACATTTTTCCTTAGAAGCTGAGGAAGAGTAATGCTGACAGCCCTCAGACAGATGAAAGAGCACTGAAGTCTTGGCTTTTCACCAAATGTACATACTTTACACTTAAAATTAATTATGTACCAGTTGATTTTTTCTACTTCGAAAAGACAACTTACTGTATTTTTGTTGCTCTTTTTCAATAACTTCCGGAGCAGTTTTCCTGTCATATGTGAAAATCTGCAAAAGTATAATAATTAATAATATACCTTGTACATATATCAATTACATACACATATTTCATTTTGGTCCTAGGTAGTAGGTTGGTAGACAGCAACCGCCCAGGGAGGTACTACCGTCCTGCCAAGTGAGTGTAAACGAAAGCCTGTAATTGTTTTACATGATGGTAGGATTGCTGGTGTCCTTTTTTCTGTCTCATGAACATGTAAGATTTCAGGTACGTCTTGCTACTTCTACTTACACTTAAGTCACGCTACACATACATGTATAAGCACATATATACACACCCCTCTGGGTTTTCTTCTATTTTCTTTCTAGTTCTTATTCTTGTTTATTTCCTCTTATCTCCATGGGGAAGTAGAACAGAATTCTTCCTCCGTAAGCCATGCGTGTTGTAAGAGGCGACTAAAATGCTGGGAGCAAGGGGCTAGTAACCTCTTCTCCTGTATACATATTACTAAATGTAAAAGGAGAAACTTTCGTTTTTCCTTTTGGGCCACCCCGCCTCGGTGGGATACGGCCGGTGTGTCGAAAGAAAGAAAGAAAAAGGAGAAACTTTTGTTTTTCCTTTTGGGCCACCCTGCCTCGGTGGGATATGGCTGGTGTGTTGAAAGAAAGAAGAAATAATATACCTTGTATATCAATTACATACACATATTTCATTTTGGTCGTAGGTAGTAGGTTGGTATACAGCAACCACCCATGAAGGTACTACCGTCCTGCCAAGTGAGTGTAAGACGAAAGCCTGTACACCTACCATCCGACTTACGACCTGCTCGACTTACGACCACTTGATTTACGACCTTGTTTTTTATGCCAAATTTCTGGGAAATAAGCAACTATTTGTGTTGTATACAGTGTTTATCCTAAACCTTACAGTATAAAATACAGTACTAACAACATAAAAAGTAAAATAAAACATGAAATACCAAAATAAAACAATAAAATAAAGTCATTACAAAAATGTTTTGTTGATATTCAGTAGTAAAGTTCGACTTACGACCATTTCGACTTACGACCGGTTTCTCGGAACCGAACTCGGTTGTAAGTCGGATGGTAAGTGTAATTGTTTTACATGATGGTAGGATTGCTGGTGTCCTTTCTTCTGTTTCATAAACATGCAAGATTTCAGGTACGTCTTGCTACTTCTACTTACACTTAGGTCACACTACACATACAAGTACAAGCATATATATACATACATACCCCTCTGGGTTTTCTGCTATTTTCTTTCTAGTTCTTGTTCTTGTTTATTTCCTCTTATCTCCATGGGTAAGTGGAACAGAATTCTTCCTCCATAAGCCATGCGTGTCGTAAGAGGCGACTAAAATGCCGGGAGCAAGGGGCTAGTAACCCTTTCACCTGTATATATTACTAAATGTAAAAGGAGAAACTTTCGTTTTTCCTTGTGGGCCACCCCGCCTTGGTGGGATATGGCCGGTGTGTTGAAAGAAAGAAGAAAGAATTTTTACAATCTCTTTCGTCCCCCTTCCCTTTATATAAAGGGACTATACACGCTCTCTGCTTTCCCTAGGTACCTTCCCCTCTTTCATACATTTATTAAACAAAAATACCAACCACTCCAACACTATGTCCCCCCTGCTTTTAACATTTCTGTCATAATCCCATCAGTTCCAGCTGCTTTACCCCCTTTCATTCTACGTAATGCCTCATGCATAATATTCCATAATTTTGAAACTGGCAAATGATTTGCCAAAACATTTATCTAATTTTAATAAATGATCATAAAAAATAACAAAAAAAAGGCACAATACCGTGACTGGAACGATACACAAATAACCCGCACATAAGAGAGAGAAGCTTACGAAGACGTTTCGGTCCGACTTGGACCATTGACAAAGTCACACTAACCAGAGGTGGAGCAGGACGGCTATATATAGGCAGGAAGAGGTGGTGGTAGTAGTAGTAGTAGTAGTACAAGAATTGTATATAATACCGACAAGATGAAATTAAGACATGCACAACACCCGGGCATCCCCATCGTGTTGTGCATGTGTCTTAATTTCATCTTGTCGGTATTATATACAATTCTTGTACTACTGCTACTACTACTACCACCACCTCTTCCTGCCTATATATAGCCGTCCTGCTCCACCTCTGGTTAGTGTAACTTTGTCAATGGTCCAAGTCGGACCGAAACATCGTCGTAAGCTTCTCTCTCTTATGTGCGGGTTATTTGTGTATGATCATAAAAAAAAGGTCATTCTTTCCCGTCATCCTTATATTCAACTACATACTTTACTGAGTTGCCAGAACATTTATTAATGTAGTTTTTTTTTACATCAAGGAATTTATACAGAAGGGGTTACTAGGCCCTTGCTCCCGGAATTTTAGTCTCCTCTTATGACATGCATGGCTTACAGAGGAAGGATTCTTATCCACTTCCCCATGGAGTGAGTTGTATACACAATTTTTTTTTTTTCAACAAGTCAGCCATTTTCCACTGAGGCAGGGTGACCCAAAAAGAAAAAAAGTCCCCCCCAAAAAATACTTTCATCATCATTTAACACTCACCTCACTCATACATAATCACTGTTTTTGCAGAGGTGCCCAGATACAACAGTTCAGAAGCATATATAAAGATATATAACATATCCCTCCAAACTGCTATAATAACAAAACTATCTAGTGTATAGCATATACAGTACTGTAAATAATATGTTTTCCATGCCAGTACATAACTCATTATGAATTTTAACATTTGGGCACTTGTCTCTCTGATTTTGCAGTATTACATTTTTGTTACGAATCTGATCAAGATATACAAACGTGGAAGAAAAATAAAACATGTCTGAGAAAGTTTAACCCACACTTTGAGAACTGGAGACCCGAGTCTTCTCCCGCTCCTCACGTTCAACCTGGCGCAGAAGCTCAGAAACAGGACGGGGTTCCAATACATCACACTCGGCATTATAAAGTGTTACAAATCTGAAAACACATGAACAACTTTTTTAACGATACAATGTCTGACAGGGTGAATATCAAAATGGTATACAATACCGACAGGTTGGTAGGTAAGACACATAGGCAACATTTAGGACATGATCTCTCAGTGGCTGCATTCTCACTACTACTACTCTGCACCTCTCCTTCCGACAGTATTTTAGTCTCCGCACTGTCGCTTGATCTTCAGATAGTTCCAGACTATGGAGCTGAACTTCTCCAGGCTGAGGGACTGACAACCTCAAATCTACGACTTCAAGGGTGATGGACTGTTTACATCTTCTTCACATCTCTACTGTTCCTGCCTACTTTCTGAACTCAACTGAAGAAGCCTACTGTGTAGGCGAAACGTTTTGGAATAAAGTTGCCTAACTGTTGCTTATGTGGCAGCTCATGGCATTGGGGGAAAAGTGCTCTCGTGGATCGAGTCATGGCTCACTGACAGGAAGCAGAGAGTGTCCATAAATAGGGTTAAATCCAAGTGGGGATCTGTAACAAGTGGCGTTCCACAGGGATCAGTCTTGGGCCCGTTGTTGTTTATAATATATATCAATGATCTTGATGAGGGAATTACTAGTGATATGAGCAAATTCGCCGATGACACAAAGATAGGTAGGATAATTGATTCAAACGTAGATGTTATGGAACTTCAGGAGGATTTAAACAAACTCAATTCTTGGTCAGAAAAGTGGCAGATGCAGTTCAATGTAGATAAATGCAAGGTTCTGAAGCTTGGGAGTGCCCATAACCCTAGTACGTATAAGTTAAATGATGTAGAACTTAGCCATACAGATTGCAAAAAGGACTTGGGGGTTATGGTAAGCAGCAACCTTAAACCAAGACAGCAATGCCTAAGCGTACGTAATAAGGCAAATAGATTACTGGGATTTATATCAAGAAGTGTAAGCAACAGAAGTCCAGAGGTCATACTGCAGCTTTATACATCATTAGTAAGGCCTCACCTAGATTATGCAGCTCAGTTCTGGTCTCCATATTACAGAATGGACATAAATTCGTTAGAAAACATTCAGTGTAGGATGACTAAATTAATACATAGCATTAGAAATCTTCCTTGTGAAGAAAGATTGAAGACTCTTAAGTTACATTCACTTGTTAGACGAAGAATAAGGGGAGACCTGATCGAAGTGTATAAGTGGAAGATAGGTATTAATAAAGGGGATATTAATAAGGTCTTGAGGATGTCTCTCCAAGAGAGAACCCGCAGTAATGGATTTAAATTAGATAAGTTTAGATTTAGAAAGGACATAGGAAAGTATTGGTTTGGAAATAGGGTAGTTGATGAGTGGAACAGTCTACCTAGTTGGGTTATTGAGGCTGGGACTTTGGGTAGTTTCAAATTTAGGTTGGATAAGTACATGAGTGGGAGGGGTTGGATTTGAGTGGGACTTTCACATCAGAGCTTATTTCTTGGGTGGCATTGAAAATTGGGTTGGGCAAATGTTTTGTTAGTAGGATGAATTGTAAAGGACCTGCCTAGTATGGGCCAACAGGCCTCCTGCAGTGTTCCTCCTTTCTTATGTTCTTATGTGTCTTACCTACCAATGATACAATACTAATAATTTTGTTCATAAAATACTAAATAAATATTACAAAAACTATTTTAATGCTTAATGTCTGTACAGCTTTGGTGACTTTCGGTCATGTAATATTGGCATGTACGCCTTCATTTTTCTACTTTACTCATTCTTAATTAATATTTAAAAATACAGTATGTACAAATAACATGAATTAGCCCCTAATTTTTTTTAAGCACACCACCATCTCGCACCAAGATAGGATGACCTCATTAAAAAGGAAACACATTCACTCTCAATCATTCAATAGCTGCCTTGTCTTATTCTGTAAAACTTCTAGCCAATTAGCCAATACATAACAAATAACAAAAAAGGCACAATACCGTGACTGGAACGATACACAAATAACCCGCACATAAAAGAGAGAAGCTTACGACGACGTTTCGGTCCGACTTGGACCATTGACAAAGTCACACTAACCAGAGGTGGAGCAGGACGGCTATATATAGGCAGGAAGAGGTGGTGGTAGTAGTAGTAGTACAAGAGTTGTATATAATACCGACAAGATGAAATTAAGACACATGCACAACACCCGGGCATCCCCATCATAGACGTTTCACCATCCAGCCAGCCACTGGATGGCGAAACGTCTATGATGGGGATGCCCGGGTGTTGTGCATGTGTCTTAATTTCATCTTGTCAGTATTATATACAACTCTTGTACTACTACTACTACTACTACCACCACCACCTCTTCCTGCCTATATATAGCCGTCCTGCTCCACCTCTGGTTAGTGTGACTTTCTCAATGGTCCAAGTCGGACCGAAACGTCGTCGTACGCTTCTCTCTTTTATGTGCGGGTTATTTGTGTATAGCCAATACATTATAAAAAATATTCTTTATTAGACTTTCCAAGCAATTAAAAGCCCAGAATATACTTTAATTGCAAGTTATATGGACCCTTATATCATTGTTTTTAACACTAGCCATCTCTCACCAAGGAAGGGTGACCTAACAAAGAAAACACTTCCACTATCACTCATTCAATCTCTGCCTTGCCAGAAATATAAAGTTTTTGCTCCCAGTACTTACCTACGATGCCTATTCATCAATGCTTGTTTATCGCCCTGAGTTGGTAAACCAATATCTTTCAGCTTCTGACGCAACTGCTTCTCTGACAACAAAGAGTACACCAACTTTGCCATAGGTTTGCGTTTCAGAACCTGTTCATGTCTGAAAATAACACAAGAGTGGGTTACCATTTTAACTCTAATAACACTGCACACAAACAGTTTCACAACATACAAAAATAGAAGGCAAAGTTACAATGCAAAACTCTGCAGCCTAGTCCCTGGGCCAGTTATGAACCTCTGTAATCTTTAGACTACTGCCCACAGGATGGGTATGGGGTGCATAATAAAGATATTAACCCTTACAGGGTTTCCGACGTACTAGTACGGCTTACGCACCAGGGTTATTGATGTACTAGAATGCCTAAATTCTAGCGCCTTCAAATCTAGTGAGAGAAAGCTGGTAGGCCTACATATGAAAGAATGGGTTTATGTGGTCAGTGTGCACAGTATAAAAAAATCCTGCAGCACACAGTGCATAATGAGAAAAAAAAACTCCAACCGTGTTGTTGGTTTAAAACAGCGACTTTGCACTGTATTTTCGTATGGTATTTATGGGTATTCTAGTTTTCCTGGTCTCATTTTATAGAATGAAAGACATATTACAGAAATTGAGATGATTTTGATTGGTTTCATAATGAAAATTACCTTGAAATTGAGCACGAAGTAGTAATGTTCGATTTTTACCAAAGTTCGAAAGTAAACAAATCACGCCAAGTATCCAATACACGTCAACTAGTGAGTCTAATATTCTTCCAAAGGTGTACTGACATTATTTATACCATTTCTACACTAATGCAGTAGTCTGCATAACAGTAAATCTACTTTTTGTGAGAATAAAAATTCAAAGTGGAAAGCAAAAGAGATGTAAGAGGGGCATGGGGACGTGACTAATGAACACAGAAAATGTTATTTTAGTGCCAGGAATGTCTGTCTTGTTTATTGTGGACCCTATTTGGAAACTGGCATCTTCTGAAATTTGTGAAATTGGCAAAATTGCCAATTTCTGACCACTTTATTGGATACTTGAAATCGGTAAATGGGTGGTTTCTTGTACTCATTCAACAGAAAAAGTGCAATTCTAATGAAACAGATATGATTTTTGTAGACTAGTACACTGAAATTGGCCGAAAACAGGGCTCAAAATGAGCAAAATCTCCGATGCGTGAACATCGTTGAGACCGCTAACTTAGCGAGAGCACAACTCCATAAGTTTTCCATCAAATTTCATACTTTTGGTGTCGTTAAGATTCTCTATCATTTCATGAGATTTTTTTTTTTTTTCTGAAAAATTTTCGACCCTGAGAATGAGTTTAGGAGAGGGCCTCTCGACCCTGAAAGGGTTAAATTAACTAGGTTGCACTGCAATATTTAAACAATTACATTATCTTTGAACATTCAGTGATATGCCAAGTGTTATTTGTACAGGAAATAACTGATCAATTTTTACTGTTTCAATGTAATTTTCTTTTTTTTATTTATTATCACACCGGCCGATTCCCACCAAGGCAGGGTGGCCCGAAAAAGAAAAACTTTCACCATCATTCACTCCATCACTGTCTTGCCAGAAGGGTGCTTTACACTACAGTTTTTAAACTGCAACATTAACACCCCTCCTTCAGAGTGCAGGCACTGTACTTCCCATCTCCAGGACTCAAGTCCGGCCTGCCGGTTTCCCTGAATCCCTTCATAAATGTTACTTTGCTCACACTCCAACAGCACGTCAAGTATTAAAAACCATTTGTCTCCATTCACTCCTATCAAACACGCTCACGCATGCCTGCTGGAAGTCCAAGCCCCTCGCACACAAAACCTCCTTTACCCCCTCCCTCCAACCCTTCCTAGGCCGACCCCTACCCCGCCTTCCTTCCACTACAGACTGATACACTCTTGAAGTCATTCTGTTTCGCTCCATTCTCTCTACATGTCCGAACCACCTCAACAACCCTTCCTCAGCCCTCTGGACAACAGTTTTGGTAATCCCGCACCTCCTCCTAACTTCCAAACTACGAATTCTCTGCATTATATTCACACCACACATTGCCCTCAGACATGACATCTCCACTGCCTCCAGCCTTCTCCTCGCTGCAACATTCATCACCCACGCTTCACACCCATATAAGAGCGTTGGTAAAACTATACTCTCATACATTCCCCTCTTTGCCTCCAAGGACAAAGTTCTTTGTCTCCACAGACTCCTAAGTGCACCACTCACTCTTTTTCCCTCATCAATTCTATGATTCACCTCATCTTTCATAGACCCATCCGCTGACACGTCCACTCCCAAATATCTGAATACGTTCACCTCCTCCATACTCTCTCCCTCCAATCTGATATTCAATCTTTCATCACCTAATCTTTTTGTTATCCTCATAACCTTACTCTTTCCTGTATTCACCTTTAATTTTCTTCTTTTGCACACCCTACCAAATTCATCCACCAATCTCTGCAACTTCTCTTCAGAATCTCCCAAGAGCACAGTGTCATCAGCAAAGAGCAGCTGTGACAACTCCCACTTTGTGTGTGATTCTTTATCTTTTAACTCCACGCCTCTTGCCAAGACCCTCGCATTTACTTCTCTTACAACCCCATCTATAAATATATTAAACAACCACGGTGACATCACACATCCTTGTCTAAGGCCTACTTTTACTGGGAAAAAATTTCCCTCTTTCCTACATACTCTAACTTGAGCCTCACTATCCTCGTAAAAACTCTTCACTGCTTTCAGTAACCTACCTCCTACACCATACACTTGCAACATCTGCCACATTGCCCCCCTATCCACCCTGTCATACGCCTTTTCCAAATCCATAAATGCCACAAAGACCTCTTTAGCCTTATCTAAATACTGTTCACTTATATGTTTCACTGTAAACACCTGGTCCACACACCCCCTACCTTTCCTAAAGCCTCCTTGTTCATCTGCTATCCTATTCTCCGTCTTACTCTTAATTCTTTCAATTATAACTCTACCATACACTTTACCAGGTACACTCAACAGACTTATCCCCCTATAATTTTTGCACTCTCTTTTATCCCCTTTGCCTTTATACAAAGGAACTATGCATGCTCTCTGCCAATCCCTAGGTACCTTACCCTCTTCCATACATTTATTAAATAATTGCACCAACCACTCCAAAACTATATCCCCACCTGCTTTTAACATTTCTATCTTTATCCCATCAATCCCGGCTGCCTTACCCCCTTTCATTTTACCTACTGCCTCACGAACTTCCCCCACACACTCACAACTGGCTCTTCCTCACTCCTACAAGATGTTATTCCTCCTTGCCCTATACACGAAATCACAGCTTCCCTATCTTCATCAACATTTAACAATTCCTCAAAATATTCCTTCCATCTTCCCAATACCTCTAACTCTCCATTTAATAACTCTCCTCTCCTATTTTTAACTGACAAATCCATTTGTTCTCTAGGCTTTCTTAACTTGTTAATCTCACTCCAAAACTTTTTCTTATTTTCAACAAAATTTGTTGATAACATCTCACCCACTCTCTCATTTGCTCTCTTTTTACATTGCTTCACCACTCTCTTAACTTCTCTCTTTTTCTCCATATACTCTTCCCTCCTTGCATCACTTCTACTTTGTAAAAACTTCTCATATGCTAACTTTTTCTCCCTTACTACTCTCTTTACATCATCATTCCACCAATCGCTCCTCTTCCCTCCTGCACCCACTTTCCTGTAACCACAAACTTCTGCTGAACACTCTAACACTACATTTTTAAACCTACCCCATACCTCTTCGACCCCATTGCCTATGCTCTCATTAGCCCATCTATCCTCCAATAGCTGTTTATATCTTACCCTAACTGCCTCCTCTTTTAGTTTATAAACCTTTACCTCTCTCTTCCCTGATGCTTCTATTCTCCTTGTATCCCATCTACCTTTTACTCTCAGTGTAGCTACAACTAGAAAGTGATCTGATATATCTGTGGCCCCTCTATAAACATGTACATCCTGAAGTCTACTCAACAGTCTTTTATCTACCAATACATAATCCAACAAACTACTGTCATTTCGCCCTACATCATATCGTGTATACTTATTTATCCTCTTTTTCTTAAAATATGTATTACCTATAACTAAACCCCTTTCTATACAAAGTTCAATCAAAGGGCTCCCATTATCATTTACACCTGGCACCCCAAACTTACCTACCACACCCTCTCTAAAAGTTTCTCCTACTTTAGCATTCAAGTCCCCTACCACAATTACTCTCTCACTTGGTTCAAAGGCTCCTATACATTCACTTAACATCTCCCAAAATCTCTCTCTCTCCTCTGCATTCCTCTCTTCTCCAGGTGCATACACGCTTATTATGACCCACTTCTCGCATCCAACCTTTACTTTAATCCACATAATTCTTGAATTTACACATTCATATTCTCTTTTTCTCCTTCCATAACTGATCATTTAACATTACTGCTACCCCTTCCTTTGCTCTAACTCTCTCAGATACTCCAGATTTAATCCCATTTATTTCCCCCCACTGAAACTCTCCTACCCCCTTCAGCTTTGTTTCGCTTAGGGCCAGGACATCCAACTTCTTTTCATTCATAACATCAGCAATCATCTGTTTCTTGTCATCCGCACTACATCCACGCACATTTAAGCAACCCAGTTTTATAAAGTTCTTCTTCTTCTCTTTTTTAGTAATTGTATACAGGAGAAGGGGTTACTAGCCCATTGCTCCCGGCATTTTAGTCGCCTCATACGACACGCATGGCTTACGGAGGAAAGATTTTCTTGCCAATATAAAATACGACATTCAATTAAAGTATTTCTACTATGATCAAGATGTATACAAATTATGAGACGATGAGCTTCAATAAAGGAACTTATTATAATCATGAACAATGCTAAAACAAATACTAAAAATATGAGTAACAGTAAAAATAATAATACAGTAATAATAATATAAGAAGTATACAGAACCCAGCATGCTTTCAGATGTTGCTAAAATTATCAATATATTTTGTTTGATTCTTTCTGCATGTCCTAACTAACTCAACAACCCTTCTTTTCTTTTGCAGTACTGTATAACTTTTTACATCACTGAATTTAGTTTCTCCATTCCTTATTTAATACTAAAAATTCAATTCACTTTCATCTCAGAGAAGACCCTTCCACTGCCTCCAACATCATCTTCACTTCAGCATTTAAAGGCTATTCATCAAACCCATACAAAATCATAGCACCACTCCCATTATGGCCTTATCTGACCAATTTTTTTTTTTTTTTTGCTGAAGACTCTTCGACTCTTCCTGATCCTACTCTATAATTTATCTCATCCTTCTTAAACCAAAAATGAACTTAAAATTATAGCAACTAACACTTCTACAACATCTCCTTCCTCAATGCGTCGAAGACAGGCATCAAGATGAATGTTTATATTTCTCTCTAACACTGCAACACCACATACAGGGCATGGAACACGACTTCCATCTTGATTGCTACCTTCACTGCTAGCGTTGGTGCTGAAAATATATTGATAACTAAAAATACAACATTCTGTAAAATAATTATCATCTTGTAGATAAATGGCACAAAGAAATGTTGCACATGTGTTGAGTTTATCAATTGTCATTTTGATTACTGTTTTACATAAACAAGAATAACAAAGTATCTATTAGCAGTGTGAACTGATAAATTGATAATTGCACTTTTAAAGGTAAAATTAATTACCCATGAGTAAGTATAGAAAAATATCCAGAAGCACTCTGAGCTGAAGGTGACTGTGAAGTGGACATCCATGATGCAGATGAACTACCCAGGGGAGACTTCATGTTGGTCTGGTTCTTGGAAGTGCTCCCACTGCTGCTGCTGCCTCTTAGTGGTGTGCTGCCTTGGCCTGATAAGATTTTTTTCCTAAACTTCTCTTGGGTGTGACACTGATGTCTTTGTCAGTCCTGATTAGAAAAGACAGAGATAAAAAATTAACCTAACACAGTACATCAAAGTAATGCAAATTAACCTTACACAGTACAGTTATCTAAGTAATGCTTTAAGCTCACAACTGGCATGTAGAGTACTACGCTCAATAATAACCCACATGGAAACAGAAACTCAGGAGATTAATTAATCTGTATATTTCGACCTCCTTCTGGGATCCTCTTCAGCAAATCTGTTAAAACAATTTTCCTCATTTTTTTCATAACTCAAATTAAAAGTATGTAGACTTGTACATTAGGTTTAATATATACAATGTACTATGTGTTTAATTTTAACTGCTTGCCTTGTCTACAGATGCATGTATCAAAGCTATCACAGGTATGAAGCAAGCATGCAGTACCTAAATGAAAACTGTAGACTGCTTACAAACCTTGGGGAAAATGGGAAATTCTTCATAGGTGAAAACTCTTTTTGCAAGGATATTCTGTCCTGTCCAGTGTTACCCATGCGTTTGGGAGTTGTGGCACTTGTAGCAATGGAGGCATGACTATTTTTACTGCTACTAACAGAAGTAAAATTTTCCTTAGTAATCACCTCAGAATCATTCTTCTCCAAGTAACCAGTAATAACACCTCCCTTTGATGCCTGACTCAAGCAAGCCACTTTATCCCTGCATGGAGTAAATTATATCATTAATTTCTACACCTCACCATAAAATGTGAATGAGGAGTGAATATTTAAAAAAAAAAACATGTACTGAGAGAGCTAAACATTTTGTGGGTAAAGTACAAATTTTTTTTATTAAAAATAAGTTACATTCCTGAATATCAGTGTAAGCTATGTCTGAAAATTTTCAAAACACCTATTGCTAAATTTAATCAGCTGTTTCTTCCCAAAGAGAGGGTGACCCATACCAGATATCTCATCACTCATTCAGTAGCAATGTTGAAACAGGCAACAAAAATTTAGTAATAATGGTATATATACGAACAAAATGTTAGGAAAATGGACATAGATATAACTAATGTGCTTTTTATTTTGGCATCTGTGTTCATTTACCTAACAAAAAAAATTTAGAGTTTGTGGTTTATCACAGTTTCACTAAAGGCAATGATCTCTGGATTTCTTTCTATTCAGCAGCCTCACTGCCTATCATCTGCACAGATCACCCACATATCCTTTACACCAGAGATGTACAACATTTTCAGTTATGAAATATTAATGATTGAAAAACAAAGTATGCAAGGTACAGTTTGTAAACTGAGTGAAGCCAAAGGAAGATATTCCGTGTCACAAATCAGCAGTACTAAGTTTGATTTTTTACACAAAACATTGGGGGCGACAACTGTACCCATCTGGAGCCACACATTGTAGATCCCTACTCTAGAACAATTTACTGTAAAAATCAATAAATACTGTTGAACTGATTTGCCATTCTTTCATATTCTTGTAATTTCTAACAGATGCCAGATTCATTCATGCTACATTCATGTGGCTTATCTTCTACCTAAGCAACTCCTCAAAGCTTATCCAAGATACTTAATTTCTTCTATATCATAAGAATTATGTTTAATCTCTGGACTTCCAACACCGTTAGCAACTCACTTAGGTGCCATGGTTAATAGGCAGAGACATTAAGTGATGAGGGTTGCAGTAATATACAAAACTGACCATTAAAGGTAAGGTCAATGATGTATGTATAGGTTTAGGTGGAATGGTTGTGTCAGTGGTAACATGAGACAAAAGAGAATATGCCAACTGCTGGACAGGAAAACATGCGAAATGCTGATTAATAAGACATAATTTAATGTGAAGTGCTCTAGGACCAATTTGCAGCCTTGCCATGTATCTGACTACAGCCTCTCCTCACCTAACGACGAGGTTCTGTTCCTAAGACCACATCAGTAAACAAATTTGTCGCTAAGTGAGGAGCATACTACAGGTCCTCCATCACAAATCCAGCACCATTGGGACCTGTAGTGTGCCGGATTACTGAGTTTGCCAGATTACAGAGTGGTTAGGTTAGAATACACTTAATAAAATTAACCAACTTGACTTACACAAAGTTCATTAAACATCGGCAAAAATCGAACATTTCTGCTACTTTGAGCTCAATTTCAAGGTACTTTTCAACATGAAAGCAATCAAAATCATATCTAATTCTGTAATATATCTTCCATTCTATCAAATGAGACCAAAAAAACGAGAATACAACCATAAAAACCATACGAAAATATACCACAAAGAGGCGGCTAATGGCTGAGAAGTGAACTCCCTTATTTATCGTCCATCTTTTTTATTTTTGGTGTAGGTTAAGAAGCATCTTTCAATCATACACTGCCCAAGTTTCAGTGAGATAACCCAACAAACAACTGAGAAAAAAACAATATTTACCAAAAATCATGGCAAGTCCAAGCCAGGTACTGGAAATAAGTCACTTTGTCTGACTTTTTTGGGTTATCCTAGGTTCTCTATACATACGCTGCTATGTATGATAATCTATGTAACTGTATTTGTGTATAGTACCTGAATAAACTTACTTACTTCTAGTCTGTCGACTGAGTACAAGAAACCGCCATTCACCTATTTCAACTACCCAATAAAGTGGTCAGAAATTGGCAATTTGGCCAATTTCACTGATGCCAATTTCAAAACAGGGTCCAGAATAGACAATGCAGACATTCCTGGCAATAAAATAACATTTTCTCTTTTCATTAGTCATGGCTCCAGGCCCCTCTTATATTACTCTTGCTTACCATTTGGAATTTTTATTCGCACACAAAAATAGAAGATTTACTGTTATGCAAACTGCTGCATTATTATAATAATTGTATAAATAATGTCAACCCATCCATAACTCTATGTTGGAATTTGGACCGGCATAGCTGACGTTAGTGACATACTACTATATTATAGTAAGCCACTTGTTATGCAGAGTATTTCAAGCAAATTAGGTCAGTGTCCCAGGATGTGACCCATACCAGTCGACTAACACCCAGGTACCCATTTACTGATGGGTGAACATAGACAACAGGTGTAAAGAAACACGCCCAATGTTTCTACTCTGGCTGGGAATCGAATATTTACCAAAAATCACATATGGCTAACCCAAGCCAGGTACTAGAAATAAGCCACGTTATCTGACTTTTTTTGGGCTATTCTACGTTCTCTACACATATGCTGCTATGTGTGGTAATCTACATAGAGAAAATAGCTTTTTTGTTTCAGGTTTATGGTGTAGTACGAGTGTATATCACAGTTAGCCCCGTGCTACACTCCGTTTTCTCTAATATAAGCCCCAAGACAGGCATAGGAGAATCGTACTTGTATCGCGTATCCTCTTCATACCTCTGTCGAACTGCTCGGTATTATGCCAAATATTATTCATTCTGGAGTATTTAACATGTTTTATGTTATTTATATTGTTTATTATGTCATATTAGATCAATTTTGATAGGCAATAAGCTGTAGTGTTGATATTAGCGTAATAATAAAGCATATTCTCCTGCATCACGAGACTGAGCTCATAGCAACCGACAGTGGCTTCAAAGCCACCTTATCTTTAATGGACAATGTGCTGTGTAGGTGCTTTACACAACAAAAAGCATTTCTTTTATTCATTGGAACCATGGCTAGGGCTAAAAGTAAGCAAGTTATAACAATAAATGGAGAAAAAGAAATTAGAATAACTTATGCAGCAAGTAGCGCCATCAAACAGTACCAGCAGGTTGGTGTGGCAACCCTGGAAATTTGAAATTATGCTAGCCGAAATTGGTGCCAAATAACTCAAGGAACCGAATAAGTGATTGCCGGATTTGTGATGGCGGACCTGTATAATGCTAGTGGGCTTGTGTCAACCATCTTTGATATTACATGTATTTTAATGTTACCTTTGCACCATTTATAACATTTCTATTATATTTTTAAATGTTTATACAACAGTGTACTGTATATTGTAATGAACAGAATTGAGGGAATCAGCTCTAATATGTACAGTGGAACCTCGGCTTACAAGTGCCCCACCATGCTCGGTCGATTTTTTTGTTTCTGGATACGAGCAAAAATTCAGGATGCGAGCTTTCCCCTCAAACAACTTTTTTTCAGACCTCCAGATCTTACAAAAATAAAAGTGAATATATAATTGTAGTTCACTGTCGTGATGTATTATGTTGTTTTTACTGCTTATGACTATAATTGCAACAGCAATAATAGTATTTCTTACATTAAATTGAGGGTGCTGGTGTTTGTCATTGACTGTAAAGAGAGTGGAGTGTTATGCTGTGGCCCTACTGGGCTAATGTGGATGGTAGAGGTACTGGTACTGAAGTCTATGGTTATGCTGGAGTGTGCATAAATTCTGTAATGGATTTCTGTTCTGTCTTACCCTGTAGTACATTATACAACTGATGGTGAGGCATCAGCTGCTCTAGACACTGTTTCAGGGTCCTCTTCAGTGAAAAAGTCTAACTTTAAGTCATTCAGTAAGTCAGTCAAGTCATTCAGTCAGTCAAGTCAGTAAGTCAGTTAAGTTATTCAGTCAAGTCAGTAAGTCAGTTAAGTTATTCAGTCAAGTCAGTAAGTCAGTCACTAAGTCAGTCAAGTCTGTAAGTCATTCAGTCAAGTCAGTAAGTCAGTCCAGTCAATAAGTCAGTCAAGTAAATCAGTAAGTCAGTCAGTTAAGTCAGCCAGTCAAGTCAGTAAGTCAGCCAGTTAAGCCATTCAGTCAAGCCATTAAGTCAGTCAGTCAAGTCAGTCAAGTCAGTAAGTCAGTCAAGTCAGTAAGTCATTCAGTCAAGCCAGTAAGTCTTTCAGTAAGTCAGTAACTCAGATGCTATGCCCAATATCTCTTCCCCACTATCAACCACCAATATTTCTTCTCCAAGGTAAATGCTGTAGTACGTACTACATAATTTCTTTACATTGTTTATTATGGCACATTAGATGAATTGTGATAGATAAATAAGCCGAAGAGTTGATATTAGAGAAATACTGAAGTATTTTGTCGTGCCTGGAATTCCTCTGAAACAGATTAATGCCATTTCAATTAATTTAAATGAGGAAAATCGACTCAACATACGAGCAAATCGGGATACAGGTTGGCCATCACTAATCTGGCATCACTGGGACCTGTAATGTGCCGGATTAGTGAGTTTGCCAGATTACAGAGTAGTTAGGTTAGAATACACTTAATAAAGTTAACCAAGCTGAGCTATTTCATACATTTCGGCCTTTCTTTGATTAGTTTATCCTGCAGCATGTAAACATTCATTATTTCTTGTTCACTTATAAAACTGTGTTGCTCTAGACATTTTAGTAGTTCGCTTGTCAATTGAATTAACCTATTAATAAAGACTTTCTGCTACATCTTCCTCATTTTCATCACTGCTTTCTCCTCCACTGGCTTGCTGCTGTGGCTTTACAACCATCTGTACAATTTCTGATTCAGTATAATGGTGAAATTTGAAATTATACTAGCCAAAATTAGTGCCGGATTACTGATGGAACTGGATAACTGATTGCTGGATTTGTGATGACCGGCCTGTATGAGCAAGGTCATGGAACAGATTAAACTCGTAAGCTGAGGTTCTACTGTATATTATTTAGGTATGCATACTGGTAAGAGAGCCCGTCGTAAGTCCGAGTCGTCGGTAAACAAGTATGTCGTTAAGT